ATTTGTATTAATGTTCTAGGATTGTAGTTGGTGTTTTCATGATCCTCTTTGCGAATGCACTTTTGCGTGAGTACTTGATGTTACTTTTGTGCATGCTTTTGTACTTTTACTTATGTGCGTATCTTTTTGTAGCGAGTGTTTTTGTGCACGTTTTTTGATGCGCATTCATGTCCTCGAACTGTAGCACTTATTTTCATGATCGCTTTTGGAATCCAATTTTGACCATGTTCGAGTCCGAATTCGGAAATTTGATATTAAACAGGAATTGTAGCCAGCTAAAATAGCTTTCTAATGTCGCCGGAACCAGTTGATTTGGAGTCCGGATGAGAAAGTTATGCTCAACTTCGTAGACACTACCGAAGATGTTGAGGTATCCTCTCTTCTAATTTGATTTTATTTTCCTAATAGCAACTCTTTTCTTACTCTTTGATCATTATTGCTTCATGGACACGTAATAATCAATTTGTACCTATAAGATACTAAATCCACCAATTAAAAAACATATAAATTAATCCATAAAAAAAATCCACGTAAACGTAAACGTTGAGTGTTATTTCTACACTCCACTGTATCTTTTCTATCTAGTGTTTTTGCAGTTGTTTGGTTATGCGTACTAAAGTCCTAGTGTTGTATTTCGTGTTTTTAAGAACGTTGTTGCGAATGCACTTTGCGCATGTTTTTTTACATGTACGTTTGTGCATGTCCATTTGAGCGAGTGTGTTTGTGCATGTTTGTTGATTTGATTAATGTCCTAGGATTGTAGTTTGTGTTTTCATGATCCTTTTTGCGAATGCACTTTTGCGTGAGTACTTGATGTTACTTTTGCGTGAGTGTTATTTCTACACTCCACTGTATCTTTTCTATCTAGTGTTTTTGCTGTTGTTTGGTTATGCGTAATAAAGTCCTAGTGTTGTATTTCGTGTTTTTAAGAACGTTGTTGCGAATGGACTTTTGCGCATATTTTTTTACATGTACGTTTGTGCAAGTCCATTTGAGCGAGTGTGTTTGTGCATGTTGGTTGATTTGTATTAATGTCTTAGGATTGTAGTTTGTGTTTTCATGATCCTTATTGCGAATTCACTTTTGCTTGAGTACTTTTGTGCATGCTTTTGTACTTTTACTTATGTGCGTTTCCTTTGTAGCGAGTGTTTTTGTGCACGTCTTTTGATGCGCATTCGTGTCCTCGAACTGTAGCACGTATTTTCATGATCGCTTTTGGAATCTAATTTTGACCATTTTCGAGTCCGAATTTGGAAATTGGACATGCGACAGGAATTGTAGCCAGCTAAAATAGCTTTCTAATGCCGCCGGAACCAGTTGATTTGGAGTCCGGATGAGAAAGTTATGCTCGACTTCGTGGACACTACCGAAGATGTTGAGGGATCCATTCTTCTAATTTGATTTTATTTTCCTAATTGCAACTCTTTTCTTACTCTTTGATCATTTTTGCTTCATGGACACCTAATTATCAATTTTTATAGCTATGAGATACTAAATCCACCAATTAAAACAGACATATAAATTAATCCATAAAAAAATCCACGTAAACGTAAACGTTGAGTGTTATTTCTACACTCCACTGTATCTTTTGTATTTAGTGTTTTTTCTATTGTTTTGTTATGCGTGTTAAAGTCCTAGTGTTGTATTTCGTGTTTTTAAGAACGTTGTTGCGAATGCACTTTTGCGCATGTTTTTTTACATGTACGTTTGTGCATGTCCATTTGAGCGAGTATGTTTGTGCATGTTTGTTGATTTGTAATAATGTCCTAGGATTTTAGTTTGTGTTTTCATGATCCTTTTTGCGAATGCACTTTTGTCTGAGTACTTTTGTGCACGTTTTTTGATGCGCATTTGTGTCCTCGAACTGTAGCATGTATTTTCATGATAGCTTTTGGAATCCAATTTTGACCATGTTCGAGTCCGAATTTTGAAATTAGACATCAGACAGGAATTGTAGCCAGCTAAAATAGATTTCTAATGCCGCCAGAACTAGTTGATTTGGAGTCCGGATGAGAAAGTTATGCTCGACTTCGTGGACACTACCAAAGATGTTGAGGGATCCTCTCTTCTAATTTGATTTTATTTTCCTAATTGCAACTCTTTTCTTACTCTTTGATCATTATTGCTTCATGGACACCTAATTATCTATTTATACCTACAAGATACTAAATCCACCAATTAAAACAAAAATATAATTAATCCATAAAAAAAATCCACGTAAACGTAAACGTTGAGTGTTATTTCTACACTCCAGTGTATCTTTTCTAGATAGTGTTTTTGCAGTTGTTTGGTTATGCGTACTAAAGTCCTAGTGTTGTATTTCGTGTTTTTAAGAACGTTGTTGCGAATGCACTTTTGCGCATGTTTTTTTACATGTACGTTTGTGCATGTCCATTTGAGCGAGTGTGTTCTTGCATGTTTGTTGATTTGTATTAATGTCCTAGGATTGTAGTTGGTGTTTTATATGATCCTCTTTGCGAATGCACTTTTGCTTGAGTTCTTGATGTTACTTTTGTGCATGCTTTTGTAATTTTACTTATGTGCTTATCTTTTGTAGCGAGTGTTTTTGTGCACGTTTTTTGATGCGCATTCATGTCCTCGAACTGTAGCACTTATTTTCATGATCGCTTTTGGAATCCAATTTTGACCATGTTCGAGTCCGAATTCGGAAATTTGATATTAGACAGGAATTGTAGCCAGCTAAAATAGCTTTCTAATGCCGCCGGAACCAGTTAATTTGGAGTCCGGATGAAAAAGGTATGCTCAACTTCGTAGACACTACCAAAGATGTTGAGGCATCCTCTCTTCTAATTTGATTTTATTTTCCTAATTGTAACTCTTTTCTTACTCTTTGATCATTATTGCTTCATGGACACGTAATTATCAATTTGTACCTATACGATACTAAATCCTCCAATTAAAAAAAAATATAAATTAATCCGTAAAAAAATCCACGTAAACGAAAACGTTGAATGTTATTTCTGCACTCTACAATATCTTTGGTATCTAGTGTTTTTGCTATTGTTTGGTTTTCGTATTAAAGTCCTAGTGGTTTATTTCGTGTTATTAAGAACGTTGTTGCGAATGCACTTTTGCGCATGTTTTTTTACATGTACGTTTGTGCATGTCCATTTGAGCGAGTGTGTTTGTGCATGTTTGTTAATTTGTATTAATGTCCTAGGATTGTAGTTTGTGTTTTCATGATCGTTTTTGGGAATGCAATTTTGCCTGAGTACCTTTGTGCATGCTTTTGTACTTTCACTTTTGTGCATATCTTTTGTAGCGAGTGTTTTTGTGCACGTTTTTTGATGCGCATTTGTGTCCTCGAACTATAGCACGTATTTTCCTGATCGCTTTAGGAATCCAATTTTGACCATGTTCGAGTCCGAATTTGGAAATTTGACATGATGCAGGAAATGAAGCCAGCTAAAATAGCTTTATAATGCCGCCGGAACCAGCTGATTTGGAGTCCGGATGAGAAAGTTATGCTCGACTTCGTGGACACTACCGAAGATGTTGAGGGATCCTCTCTTCTAATTTGATTTTATTTTTCTAATTGCAACTCTTTTCTTACTCTTTGATCATTATTGCTTCATGGAAACCTAATTATCAATTTGTACCTATAAGATACTAAATCCACCAATTAAAACAGAAATATAAATTAATCCATAAAAAAATCCACGTAAACGTAAACGTTGAGTGTTATTTCTACACTCCACTGTATCTTTTCTATCTAGTGTTTTTGCTGTTGTTTGGTTATGCGTATTAAAGTCCTAGTGTTGTATTTCGTGTTTTTAAGAACTTTGTTGCGAATGGACTTTTGCGCATATTTTTTTACATGTACGTTTGTGCATGTCCATTTGAGCGAGTGTGTTTGTGCATGTTGGTTGATTTGTAATAATTTCTTAGGATTGTAGTTTGTGTTTTCATGATGATTATTGCGAATGCACTTTTGCGTTAGTACTTTTGTGCATGCTTTTGTACTTTTACTTATGTGCGTATCCTTTGTAGCGAGTGTTTTTGTGCACGTTTTTTGATGCACATTCGTGTCCTCGAACTGTAGCACGTATTTTCATGATCGCTTTTGGAATCTAATTTTGACCATGTTCGAGTCCGAATTTGGAAATTGGACATGCGACAGGAATTGTAGCCAACTAAAATAGCTTTCTAATGCCGCCGGAACCAGTTGACTTGGAGTCCGGATGAGAAAGTTATGCTCGACTTCGTGGACACTACCGAAGATGTTGAGGGATCCTCTCTTCTAGTTTGATTTTATTTTCCTAATTGCAACTCTTTTCTTACTCTTTGATCATTTTTGCTTCATGGACACCTAATTATCAATTTGTAGCTTTGAGATACTAAATCCACCAATTAAAACAGAAATATAGATTAAACCATAAAAAAATCCACGTAAACGTAAAGTTGAGTGTTATTTCTACACTCCACTATATCTTTTGTATTTAGTGTTTTTGCTATTGTTTTGTTATGCGTATTAAAGTCCTAGTGTTGTATTTCGTGTTTTTAAGAACGTTGTTGCGAATGCACTTTTGTGCATGCTTTTTTACATGTACCTTTGGGCATGTCCATTTGAGCGAGTGTGTTTGTGCATGTTTGTTGATTTGATTAATGTCCTAGGATTGTAGTTTGTGTTTTCATGATCCTTTTTGCGAATGCACTTTTGCGTGAGTACTTGATGTTACTTTTGCGTGAGTGTTATTTCTACACTCCACTGTATCTTTTCTATCTAGTGTTTTTGCTGTTGTTTGGTTATGCGTAATAAAGTCCTAGTGTTGTATTTCGTGTTTTTAAGAACGTTGTTGCGAATGGACTTTTGCGCATATTTTTTTACATGTACGTTTGTGCAAGTCCATTTGAGCGAGTGTGTTTGTGCATGTTGGTTGATTTGTATTAATGTCTTAGGATTGTAGTTTGTGTTTTCATGATCCTTATTGTGACGCCCACTACCGAAATACACTGTACTTTTTTTTTTCATTACAATAAATAAATACAATGACTTCCGATAAATATAATGTCTCTTACTTAATTTCTGAACAATAATATCAAATACACGTGACAACCAAATGCCACAACTAATCTCGTATTCATAGTTCTCGAATTACAATCATTCTTAAACACAACACTAGATTAAACTCTCTAAAATCTCTGAATAACTTCTACTCCTAAGAGCCATCAACAATATATCGTCCACTAATGCACATGTTACTGAGAATAAGAAGAAAAATAAAGGAGGAGTAAGTCCAAGTGGACTTAGTGAGGAGTACAAGGGAAAAACAGTCGAATCAAATAATAATCACAATATAAGTGTTCAAGGAATTGGAGATGGAATTGGAGTTGAAATTGGACCAGAATGATCGTTCGAAAAGGGATAATAGGCCAAAATATAAGGCATGTCAGTATGATCAGAATAAACAATACAATCAATATGTACAGGTAAAGAACAATATTCAACGGGTAATTCCCGGCGTGGAGATTCCCACGATAACAATTTCGGATATCAAATATGAGACCATGGAGATTCCCATGGTAACAATTTGTTCATGTACCTGTACCAGCCTTGTGACTCCCTTAGTCGTTACTACCTTATAACCCCGATCAGGGAGCTACCCTGCTAATCGATCAATAGGCATGCCCGGGCGCATGCCAATTCAGCCATCAGCACAGTTAACCTCCAACTATGCCAATGGTCTAAATCCAATATGGGTACTGTCGAAGAGACCATCCACCGTCGGCCCGATACCGCCCAGCAGTCTTTTTCGAACAGCCCCGGGCCCACTGTTCAATTATCCTTAGGGCGTCCCCAAAGGATTACAATCGTATAGATATCGGATATGCTTCCGACTATCTCAATTTACATTTTGAATCCCAATAATGAATTCAATTTTAGAAAGAATCAATATCACAGTTCAACGATTGTGGGATTCCAATAACAAGTGATAATATCTTGTGGTCACAAAATCACAAGTCAAGAAGGGTACGATCAATGGTTTCAATAAGAGAGTGACCACAATTCAAAGATCGTATAACAATTATGAAGATGGATCTTAATCAACAATAGTCTACGGTTAAAATTGAATCCGTAGTTGTATAGCTCGAAAGACAAGTGGTTTCAAAGGATCAATGGGAAGTCAAGATATGAACGATCCATCAAATTCTCAGTGGGTACGAAACGAGTGATTTAATGGATAAATAGAATAATCCTAAATGGTCCAAGAGTCGGGACAAGAACGATTTACGTTTATTGAACCACTGTAGAATAGAAGTGGTTCCAACTAGTATACAAGTCAATATGTGAAACGATTCACAATGATTGAGAATCGGACTGAAACTCCAAATTATTCAAGAATCGATAAAAGAACTCAATTGAGTAATCAAGGAATCGGGATGAGAAATTATTCGAATAATTCCCGAATCAAGATGAGAACTTATTAAGTTCCATGAAGAGGATTTCGAATCGATCAAAGATTTCAATAGCTTAAGAGTTAATAATTCTTGGAAATCAAATTAGTTCACGAGATAGGTGACAATAAATATATATTGAATTTAAACGACGAGTAATAACAATAATAAACCGAACGAGACGAGTGCTCGGCATATATTTTGTTTTTCCAAAAAGAATAGACAAGGGATACGGATCCTCACCTGAAGTCCAATGCAAGTGCTATAAAAACCCTTACTCTCGAGTCATGCTCGAGTCTTGAATGAGAGCTTTAGTACGCTCGACACCTATAAACATTTTCATCACTTAACAAGATTCCAAATGCTAATATAATCGTATTTTTCCACTATATCACATAGTCAATTTCTCGAAACATTTGTTACGAATGTCTTGCTGCCACAGCTTATTCGAACAATCGTTACGACCACCTTACATATCCGAATAACCTAAACGATATATCGAATTAAAGCTAACATCAGTGTCTACAGGTTTACTGAAGACCCTGAGCCCAAATTATCGACCTAACACAGTAATAACAGCCCCGGAAGATGAGTACATGAAACTGCCAGGTTTTTAAACAAATGCATTAGCTGGCACTGTTTATTCGAAAAATCATAACAATTTGTACGATTATCGGTATCGGGAAAGTAGTATGCCAAATGAAAGCTAACAACTGCATCTACATGTTCACTGAAGACTCTGATCACAAATTATGATCCCAACATATTCAAAACAGCCCCAAAAGATGATTACAGAAAATTGCCAGAATTTCGGATGAATTCTCTTTTCTGGTACAGTTTATTGTAAAATTCATAACTATTTGTAAATTTATCCAAATTGGTCAAACAATATACCAAATTGAACCTCACAATGTAAACTACAAGTTCTCAGAAGACATATAGCCTAAATTATTATCTCAACATAACATAAACAGCCCCGTAAAACGAATACTCAAAACTGCCCTGTTTTTTTTTTTACAGATTTATTGTCATCTGATTCGGACCTCTAATCAGCTATAAAACATACTCTAATTCGATAAAATTTAACACTTACCAATAGTTTTCGAGGTCCTCTACGAGTTTCGTGAAGGAATTATTCCTAAATTCTTACTCCAAACCCTTCGATTTTGGCTCCGAAAACAAGTGCGGCAGCAGATTTCATTATAGGTCCAGCGAGCAGGCTGAACTTCTCGCCCAATTCCGGCAACCACCGCCGATTAATACTACCGAGTTCCAACACCAATGGAAAGCTAATATCTCAAGGTTTCTAACCGCGTGTCCTGATCGTCAATATTCAACCTTTAAGGCCTCCGAGCAATTAATTCTTCAAAGGACCAAAAGCTGAAATTCAGATTTTGGACAGCTTATCTTCTTCACCCGATTCCGGCGACCATCTGATGCGACCACCACCGTAGGCGACCTGATCGTTGTAGCCCCTTGATAAAGCCTTCTTCACGCAACCCTAATTCTGCCAATAATGTGAATTGGGGATTTCCCGATTAAAACCTCAAATTCCTTTCCTATACCCCACTCCACCAAACCTCGTTCATGAATTCGACTTTTTCTCAATTAACTTCTGTGATTTCGGCCAAGAATCGATAGAGAGGAAAAGAGAGCAGGCGAGAGAGAAAGAGAGAGATGATGAGAGAGAGAGAGAGAGAGAGAGAGAGAGAGAGAGAGAGAGAGAGAGAGAGAGAGAGAAAGGAGTTTGGAGAAGAGGATATGAATCGATCCTGCCTTTTGTTCTTTCATGATTCTTTCTACACACTCAATTTCTTCAATTTCTTCGAATTGTTTTTGCTGATTTCCTGGTGATGGTTTATCGATGAGAAGGTCCTGGTTTATATAGAGAGAAGTGAAGTGTAGGAAGACACTATTGATCGGATGAAGATGACGATGAGAAAATCTGACTCGTCAAGCCTACGTGTCTCTATCTAATTCCAATTAATCACACTTCTCAATTATCTGATAAACCACCTCAAAACTTGATTGCCAAGTTTATAAAATTATTATTATACATATCTCCCCAATATTATCTATTAATAACACATTAGCCCCAAATCTCATTATTAAGTACAATAAACTCTCGCATAAATTACGGGGTGTTACAATCTCCCCTCCTTAAAGGAATCTGGTCCCCAGATTCCCATCTAATTTTCCGACATAGGAAATAGTCTTCGGTAATCATCTTCTTGCTAACCCGTCGCTTCTTCAACTTGGTAGTTTCTCCGAAATACCTTTTACGTCCTTTTGTTGAGGAATTCGTCACCAAGATGGATAACCCTTACGTGGTTAATCTCTAGAAAGATGGTGTTGAAAATAGGAACCGATCTATATGCATATGGTAAGTTACCTTCAACCTCTATGGCCTTAAGAAAGAATATTCAAGATTGATTGATGGTGTTAGCATAGTCAAGATACTAAATCCACCAATTAAAACAAAAATATAAATTAATCCATAAAAAAAATCCACGTAAACGTAAACGTTGAGTGTTATTTCTACACTCCAGTGTATCTTTTCTAGATAGTGTTTTTGCAATTGTTTGGTTATGCGTACTAAAGTCCTAGTGTTGTATTTCGTGTTTTCAAGAACGTTGTTGCGAATGCACTTTTGCGCATGTTTTTTTACTTGTACGTTTGTGCATGTCCATTTGAGCGAGTGTGTTCTTGCATGTTTGTTGATTTGTATTAATGTCCTAGGATTGTAGTTGGTGTTTTATATGATCCTCTTTGCGAATGCACTTTTGCGTGAGTTCTTGATATTACTTTTGTGCATGCTTTTGTAATTTTACTTATGTGCGTATCTTTTGTAGCGAGTGTTTTTGTGCACGTTTTTTGATGCGCATTCATGTCCTCGAACTGTAGCACTTATTTTCATGATCGCTTTTGGAATCCAATTTTGACCATGTTCGAGTCCGAATTCGGAAATTTGATATTAGACAGGAATTGTAGCCAGCTAAAATAGCTTTCTAATGCCGCCGGAACCAGTTAATTTGGAGTCCGGATGAAAAAGTTATGCTCAACTTCGTAGACACTACCAAAGATGTTGAGGCATCCTCTCTTCTAATTTGATTTTATTTTCCTAATTGTAACTCTTTTCTTACTCTTTGATCATTATTGCTTCATGGACACGTAATTATCAATTTGTACCTATACGATACTAAATCCTCCAATTAAAAAAAAATATAAATTAATCCGTAAAAAAATCCACGTAAACGAAAACGTTGAATGTTATTTCTGCACTCTACAATATCTTTGGTATCTAGTGTTTTTGCTATTGTTTGGTTTTCGTATTAAAGTCCTAGTGGTTTATTTCGTGTTATTAAGAACGTTGTTGCGAATGCACTTTTGCGCATGTTTTTTTACATGTACGTTTGTGCATGTCCATTTGAGCGAGTGTGTTTGTGCATGTTTGTTAATTTGTATTAATGTCCTAGGATTGTAGTTTGTGTTTTCATGATCGTTTTTGCGAATGCAATTTTGCCTGAGTACCTTTGTGCATGCTTTTTTACTTTCACTTTTGTGCATATCTTTTGTAGCGAGTGTTTTTGTGCACGTTTTTTGATGCGCATTTCTGTCCTCGAACTATAGCACGTATTTTCCTGATCGCTTTAGGAATCCAATTTTGACCATGTTCGAGTCCGAATTTGGAAATTTGACATGATGCAGGTAATGAAGCCAGCTAAAATAGCTTTATAATGCCGCCGGAACCAGCTGATTTGGAGTCCGGATGAGAAAGTTATGCTCGACTTCGTGGACACTACCGAAGATGTTTAGGGATCCTCTCTTCTAATTTGATTTTATTTTTCTAATTGCAACTCTTTTCTTACTCTTTGATCATTATTGCTTCATGGACACCTAATTATCAATTTGTACCTATAAGATACTAAATCCACCAATTAAAACAGAAATATAAATTAATCCATAAAAAAATCCACGTAAACGTCAACGTTGAGTGTTATTTCTACACTCCACTGTATCTTTTCTATCTAGTGTTTTTGCTGTTGTTTGGTTATGCGTACTAAAGTCCTAGTGTTGTATTTTGTGTTTTTAAGAACGTTGTTGCGAATGGACTTTTGCGCATGTTTTTTTAGATGTACGTTTGTGCATGTCCATTTGAGCGAGTGTGTTCTTGCATGTTTGTTGATTTGTATTAATGTTCTAGGATTGTAGTTGGTGTTTTCATGATCCTTTTTGCGAATGCACTTTTGCGTGAGTACTTTTGTGCATGCTTTTGTTCTTTTACTTATGTGCGTATCTTTTGTAGCGAGTGTTTTTGTGCACGTTTTTTGATGCGCATTCATGTCCTCGAACTGTAGCACTTATTTTCATGATAGCTTTTGGAATCCAATTTTGACCATGTTCGAGTCCGAATTTGGAAATTTGATATTAGACAGGAATTAAAGCCAGCTGAAATAGCTTTCTAATGCCGCCAGAACCAGTTGATTTGGAGTCCGGAGGAGAAAGTTATGCTCAACTTCGTAGACACTACCGAAGATCTTTTGGTATCCTCCTCTCTTCTAATTTGATTTTATTTTCCCAATTGCAACTCTTTTATAACTCTTTGATCATTATTGCTTCATGGACACGTAATAATCAATTTGTACCTATAAGATACTAAATCCTCCAATTAAAAAAAAAAATATAAATTAATCCATAAAAAAATCCACGTAAACGAAAACGTTGATTGTTATTTCTACAATCTACAGTATCTTTTGTATCTAGTGTTTTTGCTGTTGTTTGGTTATTCGTATTATAGTCCTAGTATTTGTATTTTGTGTTTTTAAGAACGTTGTTGCGAATGCACTTTTGCGCATGTTTTTTTACATGTACGTTTGTGCATGTCCATTTGAGCGAGTGCGTTTGTGCATGTTTGTTGATTTGTATTAATGTCCTAGGATTGTAGTTTGTGTTTTCATGATCCTTTTTGCGAATGCACTTTTGCGTGAGTACTTTTGTGCATGCTTTTGTACTTTTATTATGTGCGTATCCTTTGTAGCGAGTGTTTTTGTGCACGTTTTTTGATGCGCATTCGTGTCCTCGAACTGTAGCACGTATTTTCATGATCGCTTTTGGAATCTTATTTTGACCATGTTCGAGTCCGAATTTGGAAATTTGACATTAGACAGGAATTGTAGCCAGCTAAAATAGCTTTCTAATGCCGCCAGAACCAGTTGATTTGGAGTCCAGATGAGAAAGTTATGCTCGACTTCGTGGACACTACCGAAGATGTTGAGGGATCATCTCTTCTAATTTGATTTTATTTTCCTAATTGCAACTCTTTTCTTACTTTTTGATCATTTTTGCTTCATGGACACCTAATGATTAATTTGTACCTATAAGATACTAAATCCACCAATTAAAACAGAAATATAAGTTAATCCAGGAAAAAATCCACGTAAACGTAAACGTTGAGTGTTATTTCTACACTCCACTGTGTCTTTTGTATCTAGTGTTTTTGCTGTTGTTTGGTTATTCGTAATAAAGTCCTAGTGTTGTATTTCGTGTTTTTAAGAACGTTGTTGCGAATGCACTTTTGCGCATGTTTTTTTACATGTACGTTTGTGCATGTCCATTTGAGCGAGTGTGTTTGTGCATGTTTGTTGATTTGTATTAATGTCCTAGGATTGTAGTTTGTATATTCATGATCCTTTTTACGAATGCACTTTTGCGTGAGTACTTTTGTGCATGCTTTTGTACTTTTACTTATGTGGGTATCCTTTGTAGAGAGTGTTTTTGTGCACGTTTTTTGATGCGTATTCGTGTGCTCGAACTGTAGCACGTATTTTCATGATCGCTTTTGGAATCCAATTTTGACCATGTTCGAGTCCGAATTTGGAAATCGGACATTAGCTGGAATTGTAGCCAGCTAAAATAGCTTTCTAATGCCGCCGGAACCAGTTGATTTGGAGTCCGGATGAGAAAGTTATGCTCGACTTCGTGGACACTACCGAAGATGTTGAGGGATCCTCTCTTCTAATTTGATTTATTTTCCTAATTGCAACTCTTTTCTTACTCTTTGATCATAATAGCTTCATGGACACCTAATTATCAATTTGTACCTATAAGATACTAAATTCACCAATTAAAACAGAAATATAAATTAATCCATAAAAAAATCCACGTAAACGTAAACGTTGAGTGTTATTTCTACACTCCACTGTATCTTTTCTATCTAGTGTTTTTGTTGTTTTTTGGTTATGCGTATTAAAGTCCTAGTGTTGTATTTCGTGTTTTTAAGAACGTTGTTGCGAATGCACTTTTGCGCATGTTTTTTTACAAGTACGTTTGTGCATGTCCATTTGAGCGAGTGTGTTTGTGCATGTTTGTTGATTTGTATTAATGTTCTAGGATTGTAGTTTGTGTTTTCACGATCCTTTTTGCGAATGCACTTTTGCGTGAGTACTTTTGTGCATGCCTTTGTACTTTTTGTAACACCCCACGTTTTCAAAACACGATAAATTCTAAATCGTAAATCTCTAATCACGTAAATCCTAAATGTTGCTAATAATAGGGCTATACGTTGATTATTATATGCCGAATTATTAGATATCGAATTTTATACGTGACCTTATATGCCTATGTGAGTACGGGTAAATTATTCATGCATGCTAGGACTTAGTGTAATTACCATAATACATAATATATATGAATATATGTGTGTGCCGTATATGTGTGTATAATTAGGGGTGGATTAATTAATATTTATAAAATAAACACATGATAATCCTAAGCCTAGCCTAACCCCTATTAAAACCAATCCTACACTCCACCTCAAGCATGCCTACTTAGAAGGCCAAGAGTCCCTTCTCTCCCCCATTTCGGCTGCAACATACCCCCTCTCTCTCTCCATTGTTTCCTTTCTTCCTCCAACCACCGAAACCACCATTGCCATCAGCACCACCAAGCTTGAACCCCTCTCCAAATCAGCAAGATATTTCTCAAACCAACAATGAGAATTCCCTATCTCACCCTTGCTCTTGAATACTCCAAGAACACTATAAATACATGGTGCCCCTTCACTAATGAAAACACTTCTCACCTTGAAATCTATACCGTGTCCTTCCATATCAAGGTAGCTTGGCTGAATCTTCAAGCTTGAAGAAGGTAAGAAGCTGCCATTCAAAGTTCTTCCACCTCTTCTTTCTTCTTCGTTCTTTTCCCCTTCTAACTTTCGTTTTTTCTTTGAAGGTTCCCAAGAACCTTCCCCTTTTCATCTAGCCTTTTATTTTCTTTCTGTTTTTAAGGTAAGGAATCGAAATCCTTGCTGCAAATGGAGGTATCAAGTATTAAGGACAAAACTTCGAAATTAATTAAAAGACACCCCTAATTCTTGTTTATGTTGTTCTTGCATTTAACGGTTTCTTGTTGATTAATTCGTATGATTTATGTTATTGCATGT